CCCCCCCCCCAAAAAAAAAAAAAAAAAAAAACAAGCCCTGTCAAGACTAGGACAATATTATGATTAAGAATTACTATCTGAATTAGGGTTGTGTATTTGGATCGGATATCCGAAATCAGATCCGATCTACTCTATTTCGGATTTCGAATTTTGGATTTTCGGATTGGATTCGAATTGGTATGATTTTAATTCGATCCGATCCGATATTCGAAATTATATGTACCTATACAAATACACACTAAAATTTTAGGGTTAGGCTTATTCATTTTTCACACACCCCCTTGCTTACTTAGATTTTTCCGCCTCTCTTCTCTTTAGTGAAGACTAAAAGAGTCTCAATGACTCAAATGACTCAAACTTCTGATTTTACTTTGATTTTTATGTCTCTTTCTTCCGCCTCTCTTCTCTTCTCTTCTGTCTTTTATGTCTATTTCATGTTCTATTCTTCAACTTTTGATTTTATTTTGATTTTTTTGTTTGTTTTGGTAGATGGAAGATGAGACAGAGACACCGAATGAACTTCAAATTGTTGAAAAATTTGGTGAAAGTGATGCTTGAACTGATTCCACAACCAGCAATAGTGAATCTCAATATGATTGAATGGTGTTTTAGGAGATGAATGGTGTTTATTCACTCAATTTTTTTGATTCTGATTGAATGGTATTTTAGGAGATGAATGGTGTTTTCTGATTGAATGGTGTTTTAGGAGATGAATGGTCCCAAGTCCTAACCAGCAATTTTGTGACAATTCAATCCGACAATCCGAAAAATTATCCGATCCAAAGTTTAAAATCCGATCTGATCCAATGTTAATTCGGATCGGACCGGATTCGGATTGCCCTTTTCAGAATCCGAAATTCAAATCCGAAATATGCTAAATCCGATCCAATTCGATCCGTGCACAACCCTAATCTGAATAAGTCATGGATGTAGAACAGCTCTATGTTGCTCTCGCGTCTCAAAAATATGTAAGGGGCATGTTTATTGTATTTTTTGAGGATGCACACATGTGTAATACTCCATCCGTCTCATAATATGTGTTGTGATTTTTTTGTACACGCCCCTTAAGAAAGAATAGTTTTTGACTACTTTACCCTTATTAAATGTTTTCTCAATTTATATGTCATCTCTGTCAATGACATTATCCATATTTTTACTAAATGTGAATGCAATTAATTATTAAGGGTAAAAAAGGAAAAATATAATCAATTTTGTGTTGAACTTCTAAAATGACAAATAATTTGAGACAACTATTTTTAGTAACTATGACACATATTATGAGATGGAGGGAGTAATATTTTTGAATAGTCAATGAAGTGTCTTTATTTGCTTTATTATTTTGATTTTATTTTCGTAATTTTCCTTATTAAGTGAAAAAAAAGAGTTCCTCTTAGTGGATATGATTAAATCTCTAATACCAATCATTTTCATAAATAAAAGGTCGAGGGTCTCCTGGAAACAGCCTCTTTGCCCCTCGAGACAGGAATAAGGCCTGCGTACATATTATCCTCCCAGACCTCACTTGTATGATTATACTGGGCCGTTGTTGTTGATGTTGTTTCATAAATAAAAGAAAAAACCCCGAGAATTGATCAATATTGTACGCACAACTAATGTAAATGATAATAGTAATAGACAGACTGGAATTGATCATGGCTGAAAGTAAAAAGAGAAAGCGAGGTTGATTTCTTGTTAGTATCAACAACATACATTCTTGATTTGCTAGTTCATTGCCTTCTTTATTTTCTTTAACGGGTGAGGGATTAGACTGGACTAAGGGCGTTGGGAACCGGCGAATAAAAATAATTGTAGGGTCATTTCATTTGTTGTTTAATTCCAAATGAACTCTTTCTCTTAGTTACCACAAATATAGAAAGCATAGATTCAAAGATGAAAGATTGGCATGGATGTAAGACAGCTTGTTGCTACAGTTAAAAAGTGCTCCACTGTATGTTCTTTTACACGAAAAATTGGTCACACAACAAAAAAAACAAACATACACTACTTGTTTGGAGAGCTACGACTGTAATGGTGTGTTTTGTTTTATTAGTACTATATATACTACTTTCTTCTTGTTTCAAAAGTATGTCACTGACATGGAAAGCCAATATAACTCTCGGAATGAACTCCATGTATCTAAAATACGGAGAAACAATGTTGATAATTTGGAATACAGGTCAACTTCCTTGATTAAGAGCTTTTTAAGAATGTTTTCTACACTTTCTTCAATCTTATATGAACTATTATTGTTTAGAATAGTTAAATAATTCTTTATTTAATTATATTTTTTTAGCTGTTAAGATTAATTATATAATTCCATATGAACTCCAAAAACTAGTACTCCCTATAAAGGGAGAATGACTGAAATAGGATACTTTGGTGCCACTATCGATTTTTTGACCCCGGTAATAAAAAGTTTGGGGAAAAGCCTCACGCAAAAATTTTAAAGTTTGCTTTCTAGGATTTTCCTCGATCTCTAGAATTTTAAAGCACACAACAATTATGGTGATCGTCATGATTTTGTCACACATTCCAACAGATCACCAGAATTTTGCAGCTTTGTAGCAAAATTTTTTAGTGATCATCATAATTTCTCTGAAAATTCTAGTGATCGTCAAAATTTCTTGTGCTCTAAAATTTTGGGTGGTGCTTCAAAATTTTGATGGATGCTTCATAATCTGAAAACGTATTTTAAAATTCCATCACAGAATTATTTACCCAAAACCGACCCGGTCGTGATGATGCCTATCGTAAAACTAGGCCAACCAACACATTTTCAAAATAATCCACATTTCATTTAAAACTTAAGAAAAGCCATTTTCAACTGAAATCCGATAAAAGATATAAAGTCAAAATTAAACAAAGCGAAAAATACAAGCCCGACCTCGGGTGTCACTAAGTCATGAGCAATACTACAATAGTTCTGAAACAAGACAAGACCAAAATAGTATAGAAATAACAACAATGTACTAATAGGAAGATAGAGAAGGAGAAAAAGCGGAACTGCGAATCGCCAAGCAGCTACCTCGCTATCTCCGTGAAGTCCGCGATCGGAATAGTCAACAACCGCTACCGTGCCCCGAGATACCTGGATCTGCACACAAGGTGCAGGGGGTAAAGTGAGTACACCAACTCAGCAAGTAACAAGTCCAAACTATGAACTGACAGGTAGTGACGAACCAAACCCTCAACAGGTAATACAATTAATCTGTACAGAAAAAGTAGGCATGCTTGCAGTTCAAGTATAAAACTCAATAGTAAATAGGTACAATCCGAACAGTACGACGTATAAATCTAAGCAAATCTCTAAGTACCAATGCACAGAAAGCATGGAAAAATGTACCGTGTACCTCCTTTCACAAGTGCTCAACCACTCGGTAATGTATATGGTCATCCGGCCAAGCAAAGATCCATCCCGGAATATATACACATCACTGACCGCAGTCATCCATTACCGAGGAAGGCCATTCCAGCCCTATGGAGAATATCCATCTCCAGGTATAAATACTTCGGACAAGATCCATGTCCAGAAAAGATCCATCCCTCAATAACATCAACTGCGCTCACTAGGGGTGTAAAGACTCCGGAGGGTCTCCTTTCAGCCCAAGTGCTATAACAAGCCAACAAAGGCATAATCAATATCCCGCTGCGGCGTGCAGCCCGATCCCATACTGTTACTCAATATTAGGCTCTCGGCCTCATTCGGTTATCACTCTCCAGTCTCACACACACGGGCTCAAAATGTCATGATACTAGCCCGAAATAATGATATGATGTGTCAAATAACAATAATCGAGACTGAGGCATGATATAATATGCATGAACAGGACTGAGCACAAAATATCAATGAAACTAATGATATGGCAGCAAGAAACGACCTCTCGGGTCTCAACAGTATCGGCGTGAAGCCTTAACATGATAATTAGCATGATTTTTCTATAATTTATCTATAATTTCTGCAATATAATGTATGTCATGTCTTCTTCTTCTTCTTCTTCTTCTTCTTCTTCTTCTTCTTCTTCTTCTTCTTCTTCTTCTTCTTCTTCTTCTTCTTCTTCTTCTTCTTCTTCTTCGAGTTTCAATCTGAAATTCAGTCAAAACCAAGTCTAATCTTCACCAAAATCCCTCAAAATTGAGATATAAACTCCAAACCATATTTCTGATTATTTTCAACAACACCCAATCCAAACAAATAATGATTTTTGAAAACCCAAATTTGAATTCAAAACTTTCAAACTTTTTAATGGCTGTCAATGGTGGAATTGCTGCTCTCTTTTCATTTGCTTTGTATTACTGAAATTTAGGATTGAGAGATAGAGAGAGATGTAGAGAGAATTTAAGAAACAGAGTGTATCACAAAAACAGAGTATGAAAAATCTTGTTCTGCATTGTAGAAGATCAGAGTGAAGCCGACAATAATTATGGAATGTGCGTGATCTGCATTTGTGGAAGATCTTTAAGAATATTTAATTCCCCAATTTTAGCGCGCCTAAATACGGAATCCTACAGCTACAATGATTCCTTATTTAATGCATTGTCTATATTTTATAGGAATACTATTAGCATGAAGGGTAATATGCAAACTATGAACATATTTGGTAATATAATTTCCTATATGGTGTAGGAACGAAAATTTCCCAATTATATATGATAGTTATACAACCATGGGCTCTAGCTAATAAAAGAAAGGAACTGGGCCCAACCACCCCAATTGTTGCTCATGTTTTAGGGCATTATGATTTAAAAAAAAAGCTGCCTTCTTGGTTCACAAAGACATAAACTAAATTAGCTTAAAAGTCTTGGGTGGTTGATGTGCAGCAGAGAGCTACCATTTGTGAAGATTCTTTAGAATTTTATAAGTTTCAGGTATGGATATATTTATCATGCACTTTGAATTAAAACTTTGGCAAGTAACTATGGAAAGATATAATGTAGGAATTAATTACGACGGCATGATAGGAAATAATTATTAATAATGATTATGTTGTATTAATTATATAATGATTTAAAAAAAAATTAGGTATATGTCTTATGGTACAATTTTTGAGAAAAACAATTACTGACTTCAGCTTCTACATAATTTTGATTTTTGCAATAGTAATATAGGAATTTCAATGATTAACTAGTGGTTGACCAATAATTATGTTATGATTGATCTTTAGATTAAATATAAGATTGGATTTTAACGTTAGATGCTAAGCAATCTACTGGAAAAGTTACGACATGTTTTTTTTTAAATTTATTATTGTTATTTTCCCTTTTTGAAATTACTGTTACAAAACTTAATTTTTTCTATGTATAGAATACTTTTTAACTTTTACTTTCTAGTAATCATCATAAGGTATCAGGTATTACTCTATAGGAATCGTAATTGATCATTGAGTTTAGATTGAAATACTGGGATACGTCTTTACCTTTAAAATTTTGGCATTTGATAAGTGGAATATAAAAATATAACTCTAAGCTTGAAGGTTAAGGATATTGAGAGTTGACCTGACTAGTCAAATTGACACTATTAATTAATATTTTTGCATAGATTGAGGCCATTGGCGGCCGTTTGGTTGGTGTTGTAGACGTTGTAAGGTTGGAAAACTTCCCATTAGCGAGGTAACAGTTTTAACTCTGGCTTTGAGGGTATAAACTCGAAGAATTTGATATTGTGTGACTGTTTTGAGGTGTTACCCACGCTAGGTGACGAGCCTGCGGGTGTATACCTCGAGGGATGGAGACTTGGTCCGTCCCGTGAGGCCTCATGGCCATCATCCATGTTTACGTAGTTACTTGTTGTTGAACTTGTCTGCCTTCATGTTAGAGATCATGCTTAGGCTTTATTCATGCTCACATTATTTGTACTTTGTCATAGAAATTATTGTACATGTTTACCTCAGTCTCTATTATTTGCTAATATGCTGTGATACGTGATGTAGGCTGTGTTCCCTTATTTGTTGATGATGGTGAGACTAGTGAGGGACATGATTGAGTGAGTGTCACGACCCCGGTTCGCCATCCGTGAACTATCGTGACGGCACCTAGTCTCTTCGACTAGGTAAGCCTAACAATACGAAAAATAAACC